AAGGTGATTCTGTGAGATCTAATCCCCCCAATCTGTATGCAGTTATCTGATATTAACATAAGGTGGGAGGAGACTCTTGATCACCCTTACGCATCTAGGACCATCCGCCTCTTGACTTCCACACTGCATTTCAATAGGAGAAGTAAAGGCTGGCAGACCAGGTGCCACCTCAATCACTCTCCTATAGATTGCAGGCGTGGTGTGGAGGAATCTTTCCAGAAGGCATTGCTTTTACTTAGACACGATCAAACCCACTATACCCCATGCCTATTCCTAAACCCAAGACCCTTTCACATGTAAATTCTAGAGGTATGAGAACAAGACCCTTTCACATGTAATTTCTAAAACTGTAAACCCAAGACCCTTTCACGTGTAATATCTGGAGTTGTAAGCCTATGTAAAGGCAGAGGTTTCCTTCATTAGATGAGCTTGGCTGTTAGGCAACTCCGCCACCTTGCTCCCGGCCGAATAAATCACCCCTTCCTTCCCAGTTCCGTGTTTGAGAGATCTGTTTCTCATGGCCTCTCCTGCTACAAAGGCAGAGCCTGAGATTTCAGATTCAGGGTTTGGGAGGCTAGGCTGAGTCCTACTATGAAACATGGGAGCAGGACTCCCTCACACATTCATCTTTCCCTAGAAGCCACTAAATGACTGTGTGGAATCCATGCTGCAGGGCCCAGGGCACAGGCATGGGTCAGAAACATGGGCTCCTCCAAATTCTGCTGTGCTATTTCTCTGAGACTCTGAGCAAAACCCTTCCTCCCCCTCCACTCCAGTCTCTTCATCTGTGAAATAGAGGGACGTGGGTTAGATCCATGTTTTCAAAGTATGGTCCAAGGAACCCTAGAGGTTCTGTGGATGCCCAAAGGGGAAAGTGCACACCACACTCATGAGGGTGATACTGCTGGAGAGGGTGTGAGGATTGCTTCTATAGGTTAGGAGTCACAATACCAGAATTTATTTTTTTAAAAAGAAAAGACAATGCAAAAACGATAATGTAATAATTGCAAATTCTGCACCATGGAAATGTTAAGTACTTATTGCATTGTTTGTACTTTTCTAGGTCTTAAATTTCTCAAACAAAAAAGCAATGAAAGCAGGAGCAGGTCTTGACCTAGCAGTGAGTAGAGAACACTGACCTCCCACCCCCAGCATGTGCATATTGTACATATAAAATTAATAATTTCTTTATTTTACATAAATGATGTCCTATTTGTGATATTGCTTGTCAACTTACTTTTTTACTTAACAGAAGTTCTAGCCCTCTATTGTGTGTATGTGCATATGTGTGTGTGCGCATGTGTGTTTCCAATGAACTACGAATATTTTGGCCAAGCACTGTGGCTCATGCCTATAATCCCAGCACTTTGGGAGGCCGAGGCAGGCAGATCAGGAGGTCAAGAGATCAAGACCATCCTGGCCAATATGGTGAAACCCTGTCTCTACTAAAAATACAAAAATTAGCTGGGCATGGTGGCACACTCCAGGAAGGAGAGGCTGAGAGGCTGAGGCAGGAGAATCACTTGAACCCGGGATATGGAGGCTGCAGTGAGATGAGATTGTGCCACTATACTCCAGCCTGGAGACAGAGTGAAACTCCATGTCAAAAAAAAAAAAAAAGTATTTCATGACACAGATATACCATCGCTGTTTTAACCATTCCATTATTGACAGAAGTTCATTTTGTTCCCCGTTTTTCACTGTTACAATACTCCAGTGAACATCTTTCAAAATTCCAGGGCAAAGGAACAGCAGAACTTTGACCAGACACCTATTTCCTCATCCTCAGGCCTGGCATCATAGTTATGAGTGACTATTAGCAAATGGCCAATGTTCTTAAGTTTCACACACTTGCATTCCACAACACAGAATCAAAAACCGGTTGCTGGATAATCCTGAATAATTTCCCCCAGGTAATTATCAGCTGTCTCAAGGCACGTAAGGAGAAAAACTAGAATCTAAGCTATGCCAAGAAAGGAACAGCCCAAGTAAACATCCCAGGATCTCAACTTGGAACCCTGGAGTGCAACACCTTAGGAGTATTGTCAGACCAAAGGTAGACACAGCCTTGTTTACAATGAGTGAACTTCACCTCAAGTGGGTTCCGCCCCTTATTGAATGGAGGTGATCTGCTTGCACAATAGCTGTTTACCAGAGAAAGTGGTGAATCCTCTCTGCAGAAAAATAACAACACCCTGGGCTGCTACAGTGTTTTATATTGGAGCTCTGTAACTCACTGAAATGTTGTTCAGCTATATCAAGAAACTGAACCAAAAGAAAAAATAAACAATAGAAACAGACCTACAGATGACCTAGATATTGGAGTTATCAAATATGGACTTAAAAAAATTATATCAGTGGCAAGGTAGAAAATAGCACTGGAGAGCTGAAAATTTTTTTAAAGCATCAAATGGAAACTCTAAAACTGAAAAGAATGCCTGAAGTGAAATGTGAATAGGTAGATTTAACAGCTATTGGGACACAGTAAAAGACAAGGTTAATGAACTTGAAGTTAGTTCCATAGAAAACATTCAGACTACAGCATAAAAAGAAAAAAAAAAAAGGAAGAAAGCATAACAAATAAAACTGTGATACAGTGAAAAGGTCTAAGTGTACCTGGAGCACCAGAAAGGGAAGAGAGAGAAAAAGAATTTTCAGAAGCTGACATCAAGTAACATTCAAGAAGAAATACAAACACTCAGAAAATACAGAGAAAACCACATCTAGGCACATTCACAGCAAAACTGCTGAAAACCAAAGACAAAGAGAAAATATTTAAAGCAGGCAGAGAAAAATGCACACTCCCTTCAAAGAAGACAAGACCTTGGGGAATATTATTCACATGACGTCCTCCTGAAGGACATGCTAGACAACAGTCTACAGCCAAACAAGAGGTGATAGGAAAACTTCAGGCAAAGGACTGGTGGGGAGCCTTAAATAGATGTCATCATAAAACTAAGAATGAAAACTAAGGTAGACATAAAGCAAAAAATAACACATAAATGTTACATACCCTAACCATGCAGAAATAATGGAACTGACAATGGGAAGAGAATGGGAAAAGGAGGTGGAAATTAGAATAAGCTCCCTAATTTCCTAATGTCTTACAGCTGGCAATAAAAATGCATCTACAGTTGACAATTCAAATTACAGAAACTAATGTACATTTAAAAGAACAAAGTTAAATAGCTAGAAAGCTAATACTAGTGACAAAAATTAGTAGAAAAGGAAATAAGAAATAAGAGTAGGAATCAGGGATATAGGAAAGACAGTAATAAAATGCCTGTAATCCCAGCACTTTGGGAGGCTGAGGCCAGCAAATCACAAGGTCACGAGATCAAGACCATCCTGGCTAACAGGGTGAAACCTTTTCTCTACTAAAAATACAAAAAATTAGCTGGGCATGGTCGCACATGCCTGTGGTCCCAGCTACTTAGGAAGCTGAGGCAGAAGAGTCATTTAAACCCTGGAAGCAGAGGTTGCAGTGAGCCAAATTGCACCACTGCATTCCAGCCTGGGCGACAGATCGAGACTCTGTCTCAAAAAAAAAAAGAAATAAAAAAAACAAATAAATGTAAATAAAATGAGTATATTAATCACAACATTCTGCTTCCAAGGCCAAAAAAGAGAGATACCAAAAACTCAATAGAAAAATAGATAAAAAATATTAACAGAGAGTTCACAAAAAAGGAAGAACAAATGAATCTTAAACACATGCAAAGATGCTTAACTTCATTAAGATAAATGAAAATTACTCTGAGAGCTACAAGGGTGTATGCATTTTTAAAATCTCAAAAATGATGCATTTAATATTTGTACATTTCACTGCATGTAAATTTTGCCTTTTAAGAAATCTATAAACAAATATTGAATTCTAGTTCATGATACACATGCTGAAGTGCTTTGCAGTGAAGTGTACTAATGTTTGCATCTTACTTTGAAATTAATTCAAAAAATAAAAAGGATGGATAGGTGCATAAATATGAAATTTGTTAAATGCAGCAAAATGTTAACAACTATAGAATCTAGGTGGGGGGTATATATGTGTTTACTGTATAATTCTTTCAACTTCTCTGTGTGTTTGAAAATGTTTGTTATAAGATGTTAAGAAAAAAATGCTTCTAGATAACATTTTTCTTCAAATTGGCAAAAATAAAGGATAGCTCTGTTTTCAAGACTGTGGGCTGGGTGCGGTGGCTCACACCTGTAATCCCAGCACTTTGGGAGGCTGAGGCAGGTGGATCACGAGGTCAGGAGATTGAGACCATCCTGGCTAACACGGTGAAACCCCATCTCTACCAAAAATACAAAAAATTAGTCAGGGGTGGCGGCATGCACCTGTAGTCCCAGTTACTCAGGAGGCTCAGGAGAATCTCTTGAACCCGGGAGGTGGAGGTTGCATTGAGCCGAGATTACACCACTGCACTCCAGCCTAGCAACAGAGAAAGACTTCATCTCAAAAAAAAAAAGGTCAAAATGGTAGATTTTATGTTACGTCTATGCAACCACATTTTTTTAAAGCTTGTATGTGTGTGGTGTGTGTGTGTGTGTACTTTTTTTAAATTTCTTTTTTTTTTTTTTTTTTTTTGGAGACAAAGTCTCACTCTGTTGCCCAGGCTGGAGTGCAGTGGCATGATCTTGGCTTACTGCAACCTCCACCTCCCGGATTCAAGCGATTCTCCTGCCTCAGCCTCCTGAACAGCTGGGATTACAGGCATGCACCACCATGCCTGTCTAAATTTTTGTAGAGACGGGATTTTGCCACGCTGGTCTCAAACTCCTGAGCTCAAACAATCCTCCCACCTCAGCCTCTCAAAGTGCTGGGATTACAGGCATGAAAGCTGTTGTATTTTAAAAAGAGAAGAAGTCAGCATCAAATGACAGAGTGTGGCAGCTCCCATCTCCATGCCCAGGGAGGAGCTGCCTAGTCTGGTCCGGATCCAGTCTGGAGCTGAGCATCTCAGGAAATAACTAGTCTTCTTTGTCCTTTTCTGTTCCAGTCACACTCCAGCGCCCCCGCCAGCCAGCACAAAGCCTGCTCTCAGTGAAAGGCCACTGCTGTCCTTGGGCGACCCCCACGATGCCTGACTGCTCCCCGTGCCTCCTGGAACAGCCAGGGTCCTTATAAAGTGGTGACCACTCCAGTCAGCAGGTTAGTGTCCCCGAGGCTGGTGAGGGCTGAGACAAGGTCTAAGAGAGGGGAAGGCGTGGTTGACTGTGGTTCCAGAAATTCGCCAGCCAGCGGGCTCTAAGCTTGCACAGACAGGTGGTATCTTCCTGAAGCTCCAGGCTGGGTGAGGAAGATGGAGCCCCCCTAGAGGAGGTAGAGATATCTAGAGACCTAGGGTGTGGGACTTGGGACCTTGGGTACTCATTTCCCTGCTCCGTGCCTCAGTTTCCACATTTATAAAATGGGCTTATTGATGCCTGGGTAACTTGCTTCCAGGGCTCTCATGAGCTTTAAACAACAAACAGAACACGAAGCACAGTGTAGAGCTCAAGCACTCCACTAGTTCGGGGATAAGGATGGGGGCGAGTGCTGTGTGTGGGGAGAGGGAGCAGCAGCCGCCCTCCTCCTAACGCTGTCCCTGGCAGCTGAACTTGGGGAGCCGCCTGCCCGCTCCCAGCCAGCTCCTCCAACTCCCAGTTCACTCAAAGTATGTGCCGACCATCCACTGGAGCCAAGGACTGTGGATTTGGTCCTCACATCCTCACCTGTCCTCAGCAGGGAGGAAATTAGGACCCAGAGAAGTTGGCAAGTCATCCCAAGATGAATGAGCGACGTGTCAGTGTAGGCACTAGTGCTAGAGTCCTAACGATGACTGAGGGTCATCGTTAGAGCTGGGATTCTTCCGTGAGAGCTGGTCTTCCCATCACACTTACAGTTTCCAGGCCCAGTGCTGGGCCTCAGCAGAAGTCTCTGGAGAGTCCCTGTGACGCCCTACAGCAGGGAGGGGATATAGACCCTCCAGCCTCTGTGACAGCAACCCCTCCTCAGTCTGTTTCTCTGTGGTTTTCCATAACAGGTTTATTTAAAATCTAGGTTCTTATGCTTTAAAAAACATAATAGACCAGGCACAGTGGTTCACGCCTGTAATCCCAACTCTTTGGGAGGCCGAGGTAGGAGGATTGCTTGAGCCCGGAGTTTGAGGCTGCAGGGAGTTGTGATTGTGCTACTCCACTCCAGCCTGAGCAACGGAGTGAGACCCTGTCTGTAAAATATATGCATATCTATAATAATGACCCAGTTTCTGAGATGCTTTCTGATCACCCTCAGACAGTGGGCTGGCTAAATGGAAAGCACTATCCTAACTGCCTTCCTGAAGGGTTTCATGGAGCGGAGGCAGCTGCGGGGCCTCCATCCCCACCCAGCCCTCAGCCCCACCCTAGTCCTATGCCTGCTGGGACTCAGCTGTCACCTCTCCCGCCCCAGCCTGGGGAGGCACTGGCTCACCCTGCTAGAGACTCTGGTTACCTACAAGGCTTCAGGCTGTGACCATGTGAGTCCATATGTGCACACCCCCCTACCCTCCTGCAGGGTGGTCTGGGCAGCAAGCTCTGGGTGCAGGGTAGCAGATGAGAGGGAGCAGAGGTTGGCGCCCTGCAACCACCCCAGGCACGTGACCATGCCCTCCCTTCCCCACTGCCGTGGCTCTCTCTGCAGGGGTGGAAAATGGTACCAGTCAAGCCCGAGGTAGAGGAGGAGCAGCCCGAAGTCGCTGCCTCGAGATGGAGGAGCCCACGCCCGAGCCCGTCTATGTCGACGTGGACAAAGGGCTGACCTTGGCCTGCTTCGTCTTCCTCTGCCTCTTCCTTGTGGTGATGATCATCCGCTGTGCCAAGGTCATCATGGACCCTTACAGTGCCATCCCCACATCCACCTGGGAGGAGCAACACCTGGACGACTGAGGCTAGGTGGCGACTGGACCTGGCGCTCTCTGGGTGGCAGTGCCCCAGGGTGCACCTCTGTGTTCCCTGCCAGCCTGCCATCCCACAGAGGAAGGAATGAATCTGACCACCCAGGGCAGGAGAAGGTGCAGCTTAGTTAGCCTTGCTGGCCCTCCCTGGAGCACCAGCGTGGAATGCCCGGGTACCACGGGGGTTGCAACCATGGAGCAGCCAGGGGATAAGAGCCCTGGACCAGGGCCCGGGAGGCTGGGGTTCCAGTGAGGGGAGTCACTGTGAGATGATGGGGTAGTCACCGGCCCAGGCTCCTGGGCACCTTTGGGAACTGGATCCAGAACAGACGCCCCACCCCCCAGCCCATCACACAACAGTGGTCTCATCTTGAGGAGACTCTCTGTCCTTAAAATGCAAAGTAGCACGTGGAGGCTCCCAGCCAAGAGGTCCCACGTGAACCCCAGCCCCTCCCCATGGACTAGCAATGGAGTGGCAGTGAGGGGAAAAGCAGGTTGAGGGAGTCTCACCTGAAAACTCACAAAAGGCACAGGATATGGGCTGCTTCCAAGCAGTATTTTTTAAACTATAGAGGGATATATTTTTCCTGTTATAAATAAAATGCACATTTTAGAAACTTGGAAAAATGCAGATAAATAGGAAGAAAGAGGGGAAATAACACTTATAATTCCACCTCCCAGAAACCACCATTTTGATATAGTTTCTTCCAGCCTTTCTACTTGTATTTTTTAGTCAAATTCATACTCTATGCATGACGTTGTGCCGCCTCATATGATAGCATGAATACTTTCCCATTACATCAAATGCTTTTCTTAGCTGCAAGTTTTCGTGACTGAAGGGTAGTCCATCAGTTGGGTAAATCATGGTTAAATAATCATCTCCTTTGGTTGGACATTGAATTTTTTTCGCTAATTTTTCTTCGCACAAAATTACCGCACCCAGTAAACTTTTTGAGGGTGCACAGTCCATGAGATGGATATTGAATGGGGAGACCTGGGTTCTAGTCCTGTATTTTCCAGTCAGGTTACTATGTGACCTTGAGCAAGTCACTTCACCTCTCAGTGCCTCAGTTTCCTCACTGTAAGATAGGAAAAGCCTTGTCATCTTTAAAGTTTTATTTTTTGCCTATACCTCATGTGAACAAAAGGACAGAAATGAGAGTGAATGTGCTATAAATGTGCCATAGTGGGGGTCGGGGGACAAGGAAGAAGTTGATGACGATGACTCTTCTCAAGCCTTCCCTCCTCCCACCTCTTTCTGCCCTCTCCCCCACTCCCAGTCCATCACCTACATCTGTGACCTTGCAGCAAGATTATTGGAGCGGAGCCTACAAAGCTGGTCCCAAGTCCCAATTCCTCTACTTCCTTGTTATAGGACCCCAAATAACTCACTCAGCGTCTCTGAGCCCCAATTTCCTCATCTATAAAGTGAGGGAATAACATCTACCTCACAAGGTTGTTGTGAGGATGAAATGAGAGAACATAGGCAAACGTGAGTGTTCTTGAATTCACCACCCCAGGAGAAGCCAGGGTTCTGAGCTGGGAGGAGCAGAGATTCCGGATGCCCCCAGCCCCTACAAAGCCTGGAACTCTCAGCTTTCCTTAGCTTCTGAGGGATGCTTCCTACAGGCCAAATCTCCCAGCCAGAATCACGTGGTCGGAGGAATACTCACAGCAGCCTTCCCCAGCACCTGACTTTAAGGGATATGTCTACTAATTTACGTAATTGTCATTGTCATCAGTTTTCCCATAACATGATTTGAAGTTAAACTGGAGCACCTGTGCTCCCGTTCCTCTGAGTGCATTTATTTTATCCCTCCAAGGTGTGGCCTTCCGTCCCCATCCAAGAGACCTGCAGCTGTGAAGAAGCTCAAGCCATCTTTCCCATCATCTGCATCCCAGCCATTAGTCCCCAGCTCAGCCCAGGCTACCTGGAAAACAGGTTTCCAAAGCACTGTCACTACTAGGTGACCCCTGAATGTGGACAGGGCCACAGCTGTTCAGGCCACATTTCAGGGGATATCCAGTTGTCATCCCTCTCCTACTCCCCACCCCCACTATTGTGAGATGCACAAAGGGACAGCTGGCAAAGGTAGTGAACCGAGATGCAGGCCCCGTAGAAGGGGAGGATCTAAAGCAAAACTCTTGTGCATTGATTGCCTGGGGTTCAGCCGCAGCAGCCCTCACTCTGAAGCCTGCCTTTGAGGTGCCAGGCACTTCTGTGAAAAGCTCATCGGCATGCATTTACAACGCAAACTAGAACCAACTCCCAGTCAGCTAATAACAGACCTCAGGAAAAAGAAAAGGTCTTGCAGACCTCCCCTGGTCACACTTTAGAACCCTCAGCGGTGAAAAAGAGGCTGTTCCAGGGCAGTGCTACTCAAACCGTGGTTGAAGGACAAACAGCCTCTGCAATACTTGAGGAGCTTGTTAAAAGTCCAAACTCACGGCCCCCTCCAGGCCTACGTACGGAATGTACATTAACAAGATTCCCTCGGTGGTTTATATGCACATTAAAGATTAATAAGCACTGCCTGAGAATTCCTTGCTCCTAATTCTTTTCCACACTCAGATTTGCTAATAGTTTTCACCTTGTCTCTTGATTCATTTGATGGCAACAGAAATAGTAACATTTCAGGAAAGGTGGGAAATATAAAAAGCACTCCCAACCCAAGCCTCCAAAAAACAGCAATTTTCATTTTGTGTCCATATATTCCCTTCTAATCAGTCCTCATGCAAGATTTTTTTTCATAAAGGGCATCTGTTATATAACTTTATATCATACTGTTTCTCCAAACATTACACCACGAGTATACTTTCATGTTGCTGTTACATTATTCACACTTGTCATCTTAATGGTCATAAACACGACATCTAGTGCACATATACAATTATGTAGACTCCTATTATTAAATACTTGGATTTCTTTCATTTTCCCTGTTATACGTGTTCCAACCAAAAAGGAAAGATCAAGATAGATATGATAACCCTGGGAGCTGGCTTAGGACAGGGGAGAATAGATATTTACAGTACACTCCCTCTGTCTAAGAGACACATGGAGCACATGGGGGAGGGACACCGTCTTAAGAACTGGACCATATTAAGGAGAAAAAAGCAACTGGAATCTCATGCTTCAGTTGTTGGAATGGGAAGCCCATGAAGTTGGCCACAACCCAGGACTTAAAGAGAACCCAATCTGGAGAGGAACTCTCCAAAGCAGAGAACGGGTGGTGGGTTTTCCAGGCGATGGTGCCTAGTGGCCAGTTTTAAGTTGTTGCTTGTACTGTGCTCATCTACGCTCCCTTCATATCACCCCAAGCCCTCTCTAAAGTCTGATATATGATCCACTCTGCAGCAGTGGTATTTGGGACAATGAAGGCACCTTGGTGGCAGGTCATGTGGGGAAATACAATCTGGGAGGGGCCAGCAGTCCCAGAGACAAGCGAGGTAGCAGAAATACGCAGAACCAGGAGTTCGGAATGATGGTCCTTAGAAGAAATATGGCCTCTAAGGATGCTCAGAGAGGTGGATATGTATAGTGGGACCCTAGCTATACCATCCTGGCGTATCATTCCCATCATAGCTATTTAATTTTTTCCAATTAGTTGCTTGAATGTCTACATGTACTTATCGAGTTGAAAGACCAGTGTCTCCCTGTCTCATTAGATTTTCAGAACTTCAGAGGCTAAATCAATGCAAAAGGGACTTGTCCTGCTTTCAAATGCCAAGTGAAGAGAATTGCAAAGCTTAGTGTGTCCACTAGTGTGGTTTCCCAGCCCTAGGTCTTGCTGTTAAGGACTGGTTCTGCCATGCATGATCAATGCCCACCTGCAATGCCCTGTTGCCCAGTCTGTAGAGAGGTGCCCACACGGAGTTACCTGGGTCCACATCCACGTACCCAGCTATTCTGGTCAATCATAGCACAAAGACAGGTTGTCTGTGTCCAGAGGGACACACACCTCAGCTACACCAGCCCCCACTTACGCGCTTGATGGTCATTGGCAAAGACTCTCTCCCTTTAGGAGGGTTCTCCTTGGAACCTTTCAGGGTCTTGGCAAGAAAGAGATGGCACACACAAAGCACTAACTGAAGATAGTTTAATGAAAGAATATTTACGGAGGTTAGGCAAGGGCACAGAAAACAACAGGGAACAGTAAAACACCCAGGGATGGCCAGGCAAGGTAGCTCATGTCTGTAATCCTAGCACTTTGGGAAGCCAAGACCGGCAGATTGCATGAGCCCAGGAGCTTGAAACCAGCCTGGGCAACATAAGCAAGACACTGCTTATCTACAAAAAATTAAAACTTTTTAAAAACTTAGCTGGGTGTGGTGTTGCACACCTATAGTCCCAGCAACTCAGGAGTCTGAGGTGGGAGGATCACTTGAGTCCACAAGTTTGAGGCTACAATGAGCTAGGATCACATTACGGCACTCCAGCCTGGGCGACAGAGAGAGACGCTGTCTCTAAAAATTAAAATGAGAACAAACTACCCAGGGACAGGCAGGCCACAAGCTATTACCATCTCAGCCTAAAGAGACAAGGAGAAGGATCTAGAACCCAGGGAGAGCTATAGCAATGGAGAAGGAGTCAGCCAACGAAAGCCCTGGCCGCAGGTAGAGGATCAAAACTCCTGCAGAAACTGCAGCTCAGTAGGAAGAAAGCTGGGGATAAACGTCTTGACCTCTTGCCTCCTGCCCTGCAATCTCCTGTCTGGGTCTTCCATTGGCCAAAAAGAACAAAAGCTAAAGGTCAGGCGACCCTGGGTGATACAGTCTATACATGCAGGACCCTGGAGCAAAAGACAAAAAACCAGCGCAATTCATCACCACTTAGCAGGCATTCACCAGCTTTGCTTAGATGGGAGAAAAATATTTTGTCCCCAACACAGGGGAAACATAAAGTCTCACCAGCCACTCCTGGGCACGCGGAACACTTCCTGTAAAGCACACTGCTGGTGCCCCTTTCTGTGGCTGCTCGTGTGGCCCAGAGTGGTAACTGTGGTCTTGTTCTCCCACCATTCATTCCACAGCCCCTCTACCTCTGGCAGTCCCTTAGCTGTCAGAGAATTTTACCTGGTGGAATGACCCGAATGTTCATCCACAGAGGATCCAAATTCTTGGTGCCCTGTCTTTACTGAGTTGCCACAATATCCACAGATTCCTAAAGAACATGAAGAGACCTTGAAGATCTCACCTGGAAGCACTGTAAAACTCTCAGACAGAATAACAGGTGCTCTAAGGCAACACTACTTCAACTGTAGTTTAAGGATGGACAGCACTGGCATCTCTGGGGAGCTTGTTAGAAATCTAATTTCATGCCCCCACCTCGGGCTTACAGAATGAGGACAAGATACAGGGAGTACCAAGTGCCCTAGTGAATCCCTGGGTTCCAAAGCTAGTTCTCCTTGCCCCTATCGTGTAGCAGAAACCTCACTTTCCCTTGGATATTGGGGTAAATCATCCTGACAGTAAAGCGATCTCTTTCTCTGCCTACTGTTTCAACATAAGGAGCCCCAGATGGCACAAGACCATCTTCCGATTTAACAGACCCATAACTATATTCCCAGGTGGAAGCAGTTCTTCTTGCTCACTAGAGTTCCAAACCCACAAAACCTAAGGTTTCTTGGTTAAATGCCATGTTTGTGGGATATGCTGAGATGAATGTGCTATGATCTGAATGTGTCCCCAAAGTTCATATGTTGGAAACTTGATTCCCAATGCAACAGCGTTGAGAGGTGGGGCGCAAGGAGAGGTGATTAGGCCATGAGGGCGAAATGAATGCATTAATGCTGTTCTCTTGAGAGTGGGTTTGTTATGAAAGGGGGTGTTTGGTCCCCTTTTCTCTCTTGCCCATGTGATGCCTTCCACCATGTTTATGATGCAGCACGAAGGCCCTCACCAAATGCTGGTTCCTTGATCTTGGATTTTTCAGTCTTCATAATCATGAGCCAAATAAATTTCTACTTGTTATAAGTTACCCAGTCTGTGCTCTTCTGTTTTAGCAGAACCAAATGAACAGAATGAAACAGCACAAATGGCGGGGAGGGACTGGGATGATATGGAGGCAAATCCATAACTGGATATGTCTATTCCTACTGCCCTCCGTGAAGAAAAGGACTTGGTGTAATTAATCTGCTACCAAGTGGCTGTTCTTTCTCCCACCACCCATCCCTGGGAATGGAGCTATATCAGGGGCTTAGCATTGGTCTCATTCATTGGAAGTCTACATATACAGAAGTTATGGAAACCAATGGACCTTAGCAAGGGAGAGCCCATAGTGTTGACAGCCTCTATCCCTTCCACTACGGTCACTTTGTTCATGATGTCATTGAGCAAACACCAGAGTAGACAGAGGAAGAGGCTGACACCCACAGGCTTTGTCATCTTATCTAGCTGATCACCGAGAGCGTTTTCTGCAGTGGATGCGCTCTGGTAAGTATTTAGATGGTCTTTGAATATCTTGACACCCAGGGCTCCTTCAAATATGTCTTTTCTGGACGCTTTCTTCCCATCCTGTTCAGTTGGATCGATACTGTGATTCTCCTATTGGAGATGATTAGGAATTCCATGCAGCACCTCCATTTACAAGAGGCACTTCTAGTACCATTGGATCTGCTGATCTTAAGGTCCGAATGACAGAGTAGCTTCATCACAGTCTGGATATACCTTTTCTAGACCCCTTTATTTTTCTGGGCCCCATTCAAAACCAGCAATCTTATGATGTACCCAGTAAACGCATCAGACACACACACAAACGTTCTATACTTTGCCTCAAAAGTCCAGAGATCCATCAACTCCTGAGCTTCTTTCTTTATGGTGCAAGACATAAGGTGAAGCAACATGCGTCTCATCTTAGTGGGGATATTCCAAGAGGCCTCAGACTGCTAGAACCCAAGAAATTTCCCCAATGTGGCAGATCACCGAACTTCCACGTGTTTTCTTCCCCGCTCTGTCAAGCACGTGACAGTATGGCACTTGCTAGTTCTCATTCACCAGATCCAATTAGCATAATGTTATCAATATAGCAGACAATCATAAAGTTCTATGGGCTGTCAAGATGACAAGGGTCTCATGTAATATGACAGAGAGGAAGAGGATTGGCAGATCCCTGAGGTAATGCATTTAGGGTATGCCACAGGTGAAGCTGAACTCCTTCTGATTATCTGTATTGATTGTGAGGCAATAGAAAGTATTTGTAATACCATAGTTCTCAAACTTTGGTATGCATCAGAATCACCTGGATGGCTTGTTCTAACACAGCTGATGAGCCTCCTAGAATTTTTAATTGAGGTTGTCTTCAGTGGAGTTCTATTAATTGTACATCAAACACATTCCAAGGTGACTGTGAAGCTGCTAATCCAGGGACTACCCTTTGAGAATTACTGTCCTAGTCACCTGGCACAATACCAGGTGCACACCAGGTGCCAGGGGATGAGCGGACCTTCCCTAATAAAGATGTCACATCTAGAACAACTTCTGAAATGGCATCAACTCCTGACTGTGTTTATGAAAATCCACAGTCATTCTCTAGGACCCACCTGACTTGTGCATAAGCCAGACAGGTGACTTAACTATTAATGCTGTTGTAGGAAGGAGACTTGGTTCCCAATTAGATGTGGTCCTGCATTGCGCAAGTCTTTGATGGTGACACAATTCCATTGCCCCGAAGATGCAGTATTGTTTTTGGTTTACTATTTCGGCAGTTTCAAGGGCTTCCATGCGGCCCCTTCTACAATAATAGCCCTCACTCCATGGGTCCGAAGACAAACGTG